ACGGTTTTGCTCGGCAATGTGCGATCGTCAACCAGATACCCAAGCAGTCGTCCGTAGTTTTTTATATACCATTGTATTTGTTGTACAGGCACATATTGTATCTAGGTATGTACAAATAGTGCTGCTATTTAAAAAATAAGCAAAAATTATAATAAACATTCTCTAACTATATTGAAATGTGTGTACTTTCTCATTTAAGAGTTCACATCCCCTATATAGGTGCTTTTAGTAGGTACTACTAAAACTTAGCAGTAGGCATCTAACCAAAATATTAAGCATAGCTACATTTATTAGGTACTCTTCTTATCATAACTAACGTAATCGACATTTTAGCGAAATTGAGTTATTACCATAACTGCAATTAACAAAACCGGACCTACAACAGCCTGTAAGCGGTGTTTTATCTCTATTTGATACCTTATTTACTTTCAGTTTTATTGTTGAGCAAATTAAGCATATTCGACATATTACAAAGAATTAAATTGAAATGAATTAAAATGAAGCCGTGGTAGCCTAATTGGGTTGACCTTACTGCCTCTCAAGCAGAGGGTCGTGAGTTCGAATCCGGACTCGCACCTCTGAGTTTCTCAGAATTTATGTGCAATATTTAATTTGAAATTTATCATGAGTTTTTCGGAGAATGAAAACATCGTGATGAAACCTGCACGTCGAAGAAGGTTCATAACCCTGAAGTTCATCCATAAGACTATGGCCTAAGCCCTCGTTTGAAAGGACACCCATGCCCAGCAATGGGACGTATAAATGAGTCGATGATGATGAAAGAATTAAATTGTAAGTTCTAATATCTCAGCACACTTAAGCGTGAAAGACTCATAGACCGGGTGCATATCGGGCGCGGGTGCGTGAGCCCGTCTCGCGCTCGGTGTGTTGTCGTTCCTATAAATACACGGAATTAAACCCGCCACGGTTTCGACCCGACCCGCGCCCGATCCGTATCCGCTCTCTGCGTTTCACGCTTTAGTCCAAATCGCTATTGTTAATTAAATGTTTCAATTCATTCACTTGCTGCTTAGTAAAGGTTTGCATCAACTAGTTATGTTACGTCTATCTGCCGGTTATTACAAGTAATGATGTCTCCATGAATTAGCGAAACCCACTTCGTTTCAAATCTGAATAATTAATACACGGCGGACCTATTAAAAGAAGAGGTTATTGCCAACTGTTCTTTAAGCTTGAAATTAGTTCCATTTTCATTTTTTACTGCGAATATGTTTTGTTTTTCGCAATTTATATAGATAATTTTAACTACGTATGAACCTAAATCGATATTGGAGTCACAATCCATGAATGAAAAAGATTTCACATTAATATACGTATAAAATGAAAATTTAATAATGTATCAAAAAAATCAATATATTGATTACAATTTATTTAATTATTCGTCAAATAAACAGTCAATAATAATAACTTTTTCACTTCTCATGCTCTTAAAGTTCGTATTTATGCAGGATGTAGGCTGTATAAAATAGTATTTATGCTCAAGTTCACAAAATAGCATTTTATGTATGCATAAAATAAAAAAAACATCACATTAAATATGTCTAATTGTTGTAATTTTACATTCAATTTTAATTAAATAATCGTTTATTTGTAATATTGCTGTTTAACTTCCTCGCAATCGAAGTGAAAAGCAGAGTGTATAACTCGTTCATAAAACCCAAACACTCGTCTCGGGTAAAATGACGCGTTTTATGTACTTGTTGTACAATCTATAATATTATTTTAAAAAAACCCTCATAAGTTTGGTTATCGGCTTTTTTATTGGGATTACATTTATTTGCCAAGTTTTAATGGAATCGGTTAACAGAAAGTGCGCGAAACCGGATTCATTCCCTAGATTACCACCTTTAGAGGTGGAATATTTTCTTCACATTTAAATGGGACCAATACTGAAGTATCTCTTTCCAACAAAAAAGAACTATTAAAATCGGTGCACAAATGGAGTTACCACGTAAAGTAAGCACAAAAATAATAGTCCCAAGAGGACATTCTCTTTTTTTCAAATCGGTTAAAAAGGGCTTACGAATAAAATTAATTTTATTAAAAACTTTGTGAACATTTGTACGTTATTGCATTACACTATTTATATTATTGGCGCAACATCATTATCTTCATCATAATGTGTAGGTACAAACCTAATTATAAATTAAATTTGTCAACTGCATGATCTATAATTTAAAGTTGTTGTACGGAAATGTAGTCGTACAGTCAGCGCATCGTCACTTTCAGTCGGTGCTTGCCAAGCGCCCACGCATGACGTAACAACAATCGCGATGAGCTGTACTTTGAAGTCTGCAAAAATTTGGTCTAATAGAAATGGCCAAAAGCCCTAAATTATAATTAAAATATCAATGACACAAAATAAAAGTATTTTTAATAAGTTCTAAATAAAGTAGACTGTTCAGCAGTCCGTACTTACGTTATTGAACTTATAAACAGAATAACTATAAAACCTTTGTTCGACACGTTCAACTTTAACAATCTAAATACGTATTATATTTATGTTATTTTGCAATGAAACCCTAAGTAAACTTCAATCAATCAGCCTATTGCAGTCCACTGCTGGACTTAAGCCTCCCCAAGTGTACGCGATAGTGCCCGATCACCCGTTTTCCACATCCAACCACTACCCGCGACCTTCTTCAGATCGTCGGTCCATCTTACAGGGAGATGTCCTACGTTACGTTTGCCGAGACGTGGTCTCCACTCGAGAACTCGTCTACTCCATCGCTTATCGGTTCTGCGACAGATGTGGCCAGCCCACTGCCACTTCAGTTTGTTACATTTCTGGACGATGTCCACAACTTTAGTCTTTTGCCGGATAACTTCGTTCCGGACTTTGTCCCTTAACGAGATACCTAGCATAGACCTTTCCATAGCTCTCTGAGCGACGTGTAGTCTGTGAGCCAGTTTCACCGTCATATTCCACGTCTCGGCTCCGTAACTCATGACCTGTAGGACGTATTGGTTGTAAACCCTGGTCTTCAGGCACTGTGGGTGTGGCGACAAGAAGACATGACCCAGTTTCCCAAATGCTGCCCAACCCAGCTGCACTTTCCCAGCTATTTCACGCTCGAAGTAAACTTATTATGATATTGTATACTTGATATAGTATATAATATCTGTCATTCTCGTTCTCTGCAGTCGCTGCTGGAGCGAAGGACAATACTGTTGGACCAATTGAGGTTACTCGATATGTAATTAGTATATATTTAGATGCTACTTTCATATACAAAAAAATATTAATCATGTATTGGTCATGTATGATTACTATATATATATAATTTTACTAATTTTAATTTCCTGGTATAGTATATGCATTTTTTTTCGGTGATTGCGGCTATTTAGAAACAAACTTTAATAAGTTTTTATGCTTTCTTGAAAGAAATCCTTAGCATGGGACCCGGTAATATGGTGCTCGATGGTATGGTTGTCTGGGACGTTATCATTACAATAACCCTGCGTGACGAAAGTGGATGTCGTGATGCTTGTATTGAATGGTGATTCTATGCATTACAATGAGTGTCATGGAGTAAATAATTGCGATGCAGTGTGTAATACAAAATAAGATTTATTTTCTTTTATTATTTCAATATTCAATTTATATATATTTGGCGAAACATTCGTAAAATCCCTAAAATCATTCCTTTTCAAAAGTTCGATATTTTACTATTTTATTTTAGGTCCATTTTGTAAATAAAATATTGGGCGACGGTAACTTTAATCATTAGTAGAATCATTAGTTTTAATTTCCTGTTAATACGGATTTGTCGAACGATGCGAAGTTGATTTTGCGTTCATGTAACTTTCCAAAATTTTGCTTTTGTTTTTTTTTAGCTTTGAAAGTTCCTTTTACTTATTAAAGGCGATTTAATCAAAATTTTACTGTTTTTTTTAATTTCTGGCGGCTTCCACTTTGTCACAAAAAAACTAACTAAGTCGATGTTGAGAGATGTTGTTTGAGATGTAATTGCTATTTTATGTATGCTTATTATTTATTTCAGTATAAAAATTACATACTGGGTAACAACTCTCTGGTTAGTTTTCTCTACCTAATTTCGGTGGCAAATTTTATTATTTGAATATCGCAGAATATTACTTATCCTGAAATATTATGTAATATTTTACGATAATATACTCGAACACTTAAATTGACACTGAATTTTATTAGATAAAACTAACCTGTGAAAATTACCCTACTATTTTATATTCTCACTATTTTTGTTCCGCTAAACGTGTCGGTGTGTGTATATATTTAATTTAATAAATACTACACTCTCACTCGTCCACAACAAACGCCATAACAATAATATTCATTAAATGCTAAACAAAATTGTAATAACTCAACTATGCAAATTATGTAAAGGATTTAGTACCACACTTCGAATACTTCTTGTAATATTTTGATCGCCGTGATCCAACAACACTATGACTGAGATTTATATAATCTCAGTACAGAGTACTAAAACCCGACCTCAAAAGTCATTCATCTCTTAGCTTGCCACTCTTAAAGGTGGAATATTTTCAAATTGAAATAGGACCACTATTGAGGTACACTCTGTCTAACAAAAAATAATCATCAAAATCGGTTCACAAATGTTATGTGGCCGGAGTTATCGTCTAACATACACAAAAAAAAACATACAGTCGAATTGGGAACGAAGGCTTCAACTAAGCAAAGACGCAAGTTTTTCGTATTTATAAAATAAAACTTTGCCTAAGTTGAAGCAGGAAATGAAATTAAACTTTGACTTTGCTTCATAATTTCTTGCTTAAACTTAGATAAAGTTGATTTTGTAAATACAAAAAATTTGGTTAGCTAGCCATCTTGGCTTAGTCAAAATCAAAATATATACGTCAACAGTAGATCCTGAATTTCTAAGAGAACCAATTTAGCAAACAAAAATCGTTAGTTAAAATAAGTGTGTATTATTTATATATATTCTTGCAAAATAAATTGTACAATACAATGTTTTCAGGTTTCCCCGAGCACTGCGAAACTGCCAACCGACTCATGGACACTGTTTGACATATCAAAATGTCGTTTAGAAATTATGTAAGTACCTATGCTTATTTTTTTTCCAAAAATATACTAAAGAACCTCGCAGAAATAACAACCTCGTGGGGAAAGATCACCGATATTTAAGATCCCCTAAAAAAATCAAATTAATTCTAAATAAAACCAGTGTTTTCTGAACCCATAGAAAACTTTTGCAACGTTGTAAGTACAGCACTGTTTTGTTAAGTTTAAGATTACAATTGTGTTATAGAACGTTGAATTTTTCTCTTTCATCAGACAATTGAAATATATAACATCACTGCAGCAGCGAATCAATAAGCGGGAAAGTTATAATGTCAGATCACAGATACACACCCCTAAAGTTATTTCAGCAACAAACTTCGATTTCTCTTGTATCAACAACTGCCAACAAAAAGATACATGTAATCATACGTTAAAGCAAATTTTAATAAAACAAGCAACATAAAAAGATAAAGGACTTTGTAATTTTTCGCCAAAAGCTCTAAATCAACCTCCTTCATTTCATCGAATTCAAGCGATCCTATCAAATTATAATTATCTAATTATGTTCATTATTTAAAGCCTAAGTTGATAAGAACGCTTGAGTCATCCTAGCTCAAGTGAGACCATAAAACCGGCGTCAAATTCTTTGGCATAGCTCGCTATTAATCAGTCTATCCAGCACTTAAATATCACGAGGAGCGTAGGGCTCAATAAAATCCTCCCTGTATGTTATCTGCGTACACGCATTCCGCGCGCTATTTATAAAGCGGTGAAAGGCGAACCATAATATATGATAGAGTTGAACGAAGAATATGGATTTTATGTCTCGACGAATACATAAATCGTCGTACGTTTCTTAGTAGGTATTGACGGCGAGAACCTTACTGCCATTTTAATTATTATTACACATAATAAATGATAGCGCGTCTTAATTACTTTAAAATGCTTACGTGGTATTGGTATAATAAAGTGGAAGTTTTATATAATGTATTTAAATAGTTAAGCTATACTGAAAACATTAAACTTGCCATATATTTTCAAAACATTTAATGTCTCAGCACTATCAGACATAACAATAATTGCTGCACTCTCGACGAGATTTCCAATCATAATAGGAATAGTTAGAAGTAGATTCCTTTTTAAATATTATATATCATAGGTGTACTATCTCCGTAATTAGGCGTAAAATTATTACCACGTTTTCCCTTTTACATAAATATATAAAGAATCGTTAGCTATTGCCCGCGATTTCGTATATAAAAAGGGAAAATGTGATAATAATTTTACGCCTAATTACGGAGATAGTACACTTATCATATATATTATTATAACATACTAGCAAAACAACATTAAAATTAAAAGTTATATCAGTTGCATGTGTACGCATTGCGTTGATTCAGCATTTATTTTTAAGAAGTTATTATGTCAGTTATACAATAAACGTTTGTGAATATATTCATTGTAAATTACTGAAAAACTTCTTTACAAACAACGTTTGGTAATTCTAAAAATGAAAGTAAATTAATTTGTTACTCTGCGAACCCACTGAACGTTAAACAATCAACAAACAATGCCTCGTAGTGAATCGACTCACGTGTCGGGTATATTTTTGACAGTGGGGTTTGTTTCTGTAGTTGCGCTTGTGTTATTTATTTTATTAATTTTATGCGGAAATAGATTTTCCTACCGAAAATTAAATGTATGAAAAAATATTCAAGACAAGCCCATCTATTTTATTCGATTTAACATTTACTGGGTTAGTAGAGTTGCAAATTAATTTACTTCCATTTTTATTAATTTGGACTTTTGCAAAGTAACGCTTGCATCTATTAATTATTTGTAATTCTAATTCTTGCCGCCAAAGTCATCAGATTTCTAATAGAGCATGCAATATAGAATTGTCCACGCAAACCAATAATGTCGCAAGTCTATTCCTGCTAAATAGTTTTAATGTTTGCCCCTGGGATTAATAATTGTCAACGTTATTCATTCATTTAGGGGAAACTGTAACCTTTTAAAATCAAATGGATAATGTAATAATGTATGTGACATGAATACAGATTCGCCCTCAGAGGTAGCTAGTGTAGTTTTAAAAAATATGTTTGATGATCATCTCATTTTTTTTTCAGATGTGAATTATACATACATTAGTCTGAATATATATTACATTATTTAGAAAATTACGGTATTTCAAATGTGTGAGTCTACTTTTATTTTTTCCCTGCCTGAAATAATGATAATAATAATACTTAATAATTATAATTTAAATGTTTATTGAATTGATATTCAATTATTTTTTGTGAAATTACTCCACTAGTTTGTTATAATTGTTAATACAAAGATCGCACACTCAGAAAAAATTCCTTCGATCCGGCCGGATTCGAACCGGCGTCTTCTAGCTTACCGTGCCAGACGCTATACCAACTAAGCCACAGAACGAACCCGTGGACCCCACGAATTTTTCTATGTGCTTGCGTCGTGTCTTTGTATTTGGTTTTTATAGACTTTATAGTCGTAGCACCATCTGTTAATTATAATTTATTTAAGAAGAAAGTACAAGACATTGTAATAGCCACAATAATTAAAAAAATATTTCAGGTTGTACAAATATTCGAGAACTTCGATTAACATCTTCACAACCTTTTCTTAGTTAATCTATTCTACATATTACAATACGAAAAAGATTGTACATAAATATTATATGTAATATTTATGTACTATGGCTCTATAGTTAAGTTACCTCATTAAATAAAAACATTTTTTGTAAATTTTAATTTAATAATATCACTTCTTCAAAACAATAACAGCGTAAAACGGCGGAATTTATTGAAACTTCATATGAACTTTACATCATTTTTGACCAGGTATCTAAAAAGTACGAAAGAAACATTTATTCGTCTATTAGGTACAAATAAAATATACAAAGAAACTAAATTGAAATTAAAATAAAAAGCAGTCTCGTTTAATGATATTATAAATGATTATACCATTAGGTACTAAGCGCTCTCTAAAATGGTAGACAATACAATAACAGCCAGATAAATTATAAGTTGCTTGAGGAAAATTGTTCTCTATCAATAATCTTAATCTCTTATAGATCATTGTTCACTATTCTATGTGTCCCAAAGGCTGAATATGAGTCGATCGACAGTTTAGAGAACTCGACAACGATAATTAAAGACCGGCTCCTTCAATAGAAAGTTCTAGAAAAAAACCATACATCGGACCACGTGGTGACCGCTTCCTGATAAGCCGAGCGTTGAAAAATCGCAAAGCTTCATTCGTTGACCTGAAAAAGAACCTTGAGGAAGTGAGAAATATACCTACATATTAGCCTATCGACGGTCAGGAGGAGGCTCCTTCCTGGCAATATCACCGCCACCGTCAATCACCGTCCAGCTCATGGCCCTAGATTACTCTATCAGCATAAAGTTACTAGAAATCATGCTACAAGCCGCAAATTAACTGAAGTTGACAGTCAAATAAGTTATTTACATAAGTATCCGTTTATTTTTCAAATTAGTGTATTTAAGAATTAGGGATTAATTAAACAAATAATGCACACACTCATCATAGCCCCGCACTAGGGAAACCCTGTGTCGCGGGTGCCATGGACACACACATAAACAACCACAAATTACACCCGAACTCACGAGAGAAATAATTGTAGGCCATACAACTATTTCTTCCGGCCCGGGAATCGAACCTAGGACCTCTGCGTGGCAGTCCGGCACGGTAACCGTTCGGCCACGGAGGCAATTAATTACTTATTTTGGTTTTAACTCATTATTTTTCATTCCAGTATAACACATCATCGTACGGCCGGAGTCGAGACGCGGCAAGAAGCGCGACCAGCATATCAACAGACCGGCCTACTTCCGTCACTGCCAAATACTCCAGCGTAACCCCCTCATACAAGTCTAGTATCCCTGTTCTGAGCCCCGAGAGATCTCAGGATGAAACCCACATTTCACCCATTACAAATCGATTTGCCAATTACAGTAAAGCGGAAAAATCTACTTCTAAATACGATAAGAAAGATTACAACGAAAAAAGTAACTCAAAATTTGACAAAAAAGATTATGAAAAACCAACTTCTAAGTACGACAAACTAACTACTAAGTACGATAAGAAAGATTATGATAAGTCAAGCTCTAAGTTCGAGAAAAAAGACTACATCGAAAAACCTTTCTCTAAGTACGATAAAAAAGATTACGTTGACAAGTCACTCTTAAAATACGAAAAGAAAGATTTCAACAAACTTACCATACCGTCGTTAACAACCAACCGGAGTCGAGACGTTAGCCCTGTATCGACGTCATCAAAATACAGCCTCACTCGGCAATCACGACATTTAAGCCCTGACCGAAGAACGAACAAAACTTTTAAAGAGAAAAGCCGAGACCCTAGCCCAGCGGATCGTGAAAAAGACATTCCAAATAAGACTGATAAGTCCTCAGGTTACAACAGCCTGTCGAACTTCAAATTATACCCTCGTTCCTCAAATTATACTCGATCTGCCTCAAGAGAATCTAAACCTGAACTAACTGTTAACCGATATTCGATAGCCAATCGTTTATCGTCAAATTATCTTAGAAGCCCACCCACAATTAACCGAACTTCTGTATCACCAGTAAACCTTAACGAAATACCGAGAGAAAAACTGAAGAGTGACAACGAACAATGTATATCGCCAGTGGCGCTTACAGAAGAATCCAGCGGACCACAAAAAGAATCAGAACATAAAGTTATAGGAAATGATATTGAAATTGTAATTGAAAACGAAGATGAAAATGAGACTGAAACATTTACCGTTGTAACTAGACACACTTCCCCTACCCCACCAGGTTCCTCAGCATACGTAAGAGCTAGAAGGGCAGACATGGCTAAAACTGTTGAAAAAACACTAACTAGACCAAAGAAAAGATCAGAAATGACTGACAGAGAAATACAAACTGATAGGTTGGACGACTCTACACGTTCCAGCAGATTTGCCAGCACTGCTAGGTCGAGCATTTCAAATTGGTCAGTATACACCCCAAGTGCTACCAATTACACAGGTTATGCAGGTAGATTTTCTACTCAGTACCCTTCATTACGGGAAAAATCAGGAGGTTCTTATAGCGACAGAAGCAGTAGAAGCCACAGTACTGAAAGAATTCTTAAAGATTCAGATTTAAACACACATTCTGAAAATATCCAAAACAACGATACAACAGGATCTGCTAACAATATATCCGAATCTGATCAGGGTATCATATCTGTATACGAGGACAAAGACGATGAGACTTCTGAAATTATTATTAATGTCAATCTTAAATTCAAAAAAGCTAAAAGTCCATTAACAGTTACATCAGCGGAACTTGTTTCTCCAGAAATAACGGTATCAAATAGTCAACTACCCCCCCAAGTACCTAAACCAGAAGGTACGGGGAAAGCAAAAAAAGTGAAAACGAGGAAATCAAGCACTGACTCCTCGGATTCTGGTTCAAAGAAGAAGACAATTAAAAGACGAAGTAAATCTGTCAGTTCTACAGACTCTGATCAGGGGAACGAGGCAAACGAAAAAAATACGGAATCCAGTCCGTCACCTACAAAAAGTGCAACAAAAAACTCTTCCAGTAATAATTTACAAAATGGTAACATAAATTTGGAACGTTCTAAATCACGAGAAACTAACAGCCCAGAATCAAGCATTACTCTCTCTACGCAATCCTCGATCAGTGAAGACGATACGGTCTCAAAATCGAAAATTAATGATACGTCAAGAACTTCGGCAGACGAAACGTCTATTCCAACTGACCGTTCAGCAAAACAGGCATCACCTGTTGGAAATCAAAAGGAAGGTGGCACCGAAGAAGCCAAGTCATTTTTGATTCGAGCTTTAGCGCCGGTCACAAACCTTTTTAAAATGAGACATCAGGATTCAACCGATAACAAAACTTGGCCTGAAAATTCCACCTCTGAATCTACAGGAAAAGATATATCCAATCTAGTAACAGAGAGTGAGAAATCGAATAAAAACAAAAATACCACAAATAATATTATTGCCTCCAATGAAGATAATATTGTCAAATTAAAAGCCATCAGACACATCGAATCTGGAGAAAGAGCCTGGTGGTTAGATTCGCAATCAGACAAGTTAAATTCCCAAAGTACTAACAAATCACCGTCAGAAAAAAATATACCAAAGAAAATTAGACATATTGAATCAGGCGAAAGGGCTTGGTGGCTTGAATCGAATGGCAGTGAAAATACAACAGAAAATAGTTGCCAACAAAATTCATCTGAAAATGTAGGTAAACAATTTAAAAAATGTAAATTCGTTGAAGACGAAAAGCCATGGTGGTTAGATAGTTCTGCTAACATACCAGAAGGCGTGGAACAGTTAACACCTCCCAGAAAATCATCTAGTGATAGTGACAAAAGTGAGAAATTTAACTTCTATAAAATCCGCCACATAGAATCAGGGGAGCAAAAAGATTGGTGGCTCTCGAGCAATGATAATTCTTTAAACAGTAATAAACTGGAGGGACAAAATACCCAAAACAGTCTTAGTAAATCAGGATCTGACCAACGAGGTTTTCCATTAAGACGAATTCGGCACGTGGAATCAGGTGAACGTCCTTGGTGGTTGGCAAGTGATAAAAATATACCCGAAGGTATAGAAAAATTGCCTACTCCCCCACCTCAACAAGACAGTGATAGCTCTGATTATGAAGAGGTTCAGATTTATGCACCTTCTAATATTCCTCCTTTCCCTTTAAATCTGCCTGATGACGAACCTTTAGGTGCAAGAAGGAGTCCTGAAGGCTTAGAGACTCCAAAAGAAACTGAAGATTACAACCGAGGTCGTGTTTCACCTTATGAAAATAATCGTCTATACAAAAGGAGAAGTATGGCAAATTTAACATATACGAAGGGAATGGATAAATACATATCGAGATACACTGATATAGATGACATTCTAGGCACATCTGGACAAATTTACAGTCCTTTCATGGACTCCTTACTGGCAAGAAGAACAGGACAAACGCATTTCGATGATGATGAGTGTGAAGAAATTGATCCCACTCAAGTGAGAATTCACGACAGCACAGCACAGATGCCAGTCATAAAGAAACTTCGCGGCAGGTAATTTTTTACAATAAAAGGGAACGCTTACAGACTAAAGTGGAGAGCTTTGTTACGAAGTTGGTTGGCTATTTGTGAGGCCGTACAAATGGCGTCCAACTAAGGTAGTGCATGCTCGAATAATACGTGCTTTAAAGTAGAAACTTTCACGGTTCCTAATATCATTGCTCTCTATTATGATATTAGATAATTATGGACTACTAGACTGACAGACAAATTAATGTCACACTTGTTTTTTATTTATTTATTATACGTTTGTTTTCAGAGGTGAAGTGATCGACTACTGTGACGAAGACCAGGTAACTTTTATTTTAGTTACAATTAACTTTAGACAGCAATAACATTCAACCGACTAGAAAGCATGGACCTGTCAAAAGGTATGAATCTGTCGAACAATCATTACTGCTACATTATAGTAAAGTACCTACTCCTGATACTATATAATCTTTTAAAATAAGTTTTTGTTTCTAATACAATATTAGATGATCTACTAAGTTTTGGTCAGGTAAGTACTTTTTAAATATGGTAGTTGATAATCACAACGCTACGCATTATAATATGCAATAAACAAAATTCTGCAAATGTTGTTGTATAGTAAAATTTATATTTTGCGTCGAGATTTTGTTATAATATTTTTAACAACATTCAATGATAAACATCATGAATTATAAAAATAAAAATAAAAAAGGTTTGTCATCTATGTACATACGTAGTATATACTTGAGCAATAAACAACAATAACGCGTATTATATATAGTAAATTAAACAACCAGCGAATTGAATAAATTAAATATTTGTTCTTGCTACTATAATAAATTTGCAGCAGCGCGACAACATCAGCGTTGTCGATGCGAACGCGGCATCTAAACACGAACAGTCGTGAGAAGTTCGCAGAACTTCTATAGGTGGACAAAAAATAGTTACAGTCAGTCTACTAGATAAATAGGTAACAATATTAAATACAAGTCATTAAACATCATCATTACATTGCAGTGTATCATAGCTTAGACCGTCAAGGTTTTCTTGAGCTTACAATGTAGATTTAAGGACCTTGGTAAGAATTCCATTGGAGCTACAATTATCAGCGAGAATTGAGTCAAAAAGATGCAAAAAAAATGGTGGATGATGTTGCATTAACAATACCATAAGGCTTCAGTGGAGAGGAGAGAGCAGTGAACTGCGGAGCGCGCTATATCCTTGAGACAGTGGCCGAAAAAAAAAGTCGTGTGAGAGCGAGACGGCTAACTGTATCGCACGGTGCCGTCATATCGAAGCGGTGACGATGACGTAGCGGTCAAAGACATGCAGACAAGGCTTTTGCCATTATAACCAAAGTTTATAATGATGTTTGAATGTTTTTTACATTGTTTACAAATTACATAAAAAGAATATTTCGTGGGTCGCTATTCTTTGCCGTACAAAAAGTAATTTATTAAAATTAATCAACTGGGTAACAGTACCATATTGCTTTTAGGATATTACTATTTTTAAATTAAGAGTTTGGTTCTCGGTCACATCTCCACGTAGCAAATCAGCTGTTCATTCACAGTTCTTACCTGCTCCAATTAATTACCCTTTTTACTCTTTGGAATTGCTCAAAGACCTTTTATCCCTTTCTTCCGTTGGACCATGTGATACAATGTTCTTTGCGATGCTAACCGACCGGTTGCGGAAGTCGCTTGAGCTCTACCGATATTGAAACAAAACCAGTTCTTTGTAACCTGCCGTTTAATGAAGACGTGAAAATTGTACCTGAGGCAAGTTGCCTTGCAACGGCTCTTCAGTGATACTTATGCCTTTGTCAGAGTTGGTACCGGCGAACCAAAGCGCGCAGTCACGCTCCGGGACTTCCAAAAAATTTAACACAAACAATGAAGTGACTTTTGTGATTTTAAGACTGTTCTGATCTCAGAGAGGTATTTATGCCCCGAACGTTAAATAATAATATGATTTTTATCTCCTAAAGTTGAAGCCGGTTTTTTTGTTTCTTTTTTATCTACGAGCTTACTGACGGGAGCTGTGGGTAAAATATTTAGCTATTATTTATGGATGCGGTATGTACTAAAACACAACTTCTGTAACGTCTATGTGTAGTCATCGTTTTCATTTTGAATCAAATTTACTTTGCTGATTGCACCGTTCGAAACCTGCTTATTTTAAGAGAAAACTCACTGCCTATAAATTTGAAAACTACTCACTAGCACTGTCGCTGTTACATACAGTACTATAATTTCTCCAATGAAAATATTTTTCTAATATTTTCGTGGAATTAATGAGAATAAGAAGTTATAGTGCCGATAGCACCTGCTGGAACCTGTTCGAGCCTGCAGACCTTAAATAAATACAAAACAAACAGCTCGTCCAAGTAAATCGAGTTACATTTATATCAATACCTAATTAGTGATATTTTTTCCTAACATTGCGGTCGCATTAACTTGGTGCATTATTAACTTGTGTTTTTTTTAAGTATCGTAGCAAGTTTTAAAAGTTACGCGTTTCTTTATCCAAAAATTTCGAATGGTTTTGTTTTGTTTCTTTTCTTAATTCTGGTGACTGAGAAAGATTCGATTTTGCATTTTATATGTTTGCAAAGTAGTATCGTATCGTGAAAATATAAGTAATATTACTTACCTTCTTTAAAGGTTTTGTGAGGTCGCAAACTTTTGAAAAACTGCGATTTAAGAACAAATCATTTCAAATTCTAGCATTAATTGAGACCTGTTGTTATTGTTAAGGAACTTTAATCTTAATGGAAACAATAAGCCAATTAAATGTTCCTTATGGTAGAAATATGTTATCATAATCAAATATCAAAATATACTTGATATCTTTTATCCAAATAATAAAAAATAACAACACTTAACAATAAATTAGATATATATACAAAATTAATTGAATTCTCCAAACATTCAAAAGAGTCAGTCGTAATTTTACATACTAAAATAGAAGCGAAAAATGTATGTTCTATATAATATTATGGCTTATTAGTACTATTCAAGTCATGTCCTGATATAACGTGGAATTATAATCCACAAACCCAAAAGGCGCTAGCTCGGCTTCGACACTGGTAATCTGCCAGAGCCTGAACAATTTACGCCAAACCTATGAGAAAATTACTGAGTGAAGTAAAATGCCAAATGTGAAATTTGCTACGGTTATATAATGTAAGTTCAAATTTACCCACTCTAAAAAACTTACTGTTGTTAAGTAAGTGTACTAGTAACAAATATGTGATTCTTAACTTTTTATTGAAGTCGAATTCACGACATGTTTCTTTTTTATTATTTGTCACTTTTTAAAATCAAAGTGAACTAAAAACAATCAGATGGTTAGTATATCATATATTAGCCACCTAGGATAAAATGCTAGAGGTCTAGAACTAGATCATCGGTTTAAAAAGTCTACCCCAAAAAAAAATATTGCCAATATTATATTGTTAATATATTATTTAATATTATGTACGATTATTCGTTTTTGTGACTAAATAAGTTAAGATATTTGTTACTAGCACGATAGACATTTTTCTAAATAGTTGGCAGTACTTCCTTAGACGAACTCTTTCACAAGGCGCTCTACTGCTACTAGCTCTTAGGTTTTCGCGATTGTTATACGTAGGAAATTATTACACATAGTTTCAAACCAACCAATGTATTCAACTCTTTAGAGGTTGACTTTTATTCAGACGTGACCATGGGACCTGTAAAGAATCAGACACGTAGGTTTGTTTGAAAAAACAAATGTTACCATAGTTGATACGTAATAATAGTTTAATTTCCTAAGATTTTACAGTTATCAAAGATGAACTATTACAAAGATATTGTACTTTACATTATTGACCTACCGCCTCTCAACTAGAGGCCGTGGTTTCGAACCTCTGATTTATATGTGAAATATCTCTTTCTCGTAATTTATTTGTGAAATTTAATTTGAAATTTACCATGGGAAAACATCGTGATGAAACCTGCACGTCGAAGATAGTTCACAGCCCTCGGAAAACGTGTAAAGTCCCCAACCTTGAGTCAACATTGAGTCAGCATGGCGGACAAAGGGATACACCCTCGCCTGACAGGAGACCTGTGCCCAGCAGTGGGACATATAAATGGGTTAATGATGAGGGTGAACGATGAATTTAACCCAATAATTATGGTTGCATTACCATATTCTACAGTATTAGTTTGAGGGTTCAGTCCATAGTCTACGCGGGCCCAATTTTTAAATAAAATAATTTAATTAACGACAAAATTTAACGAAATAAGACGTATAGTAGAGCTTCTTGTGAAAGAGTTTGCCCCCTTAGGTTAATTTAAACAAAATAATACGTAATAAATACGTGCATTAACACGTCGGTTTTGCACAATTCTAAATATTACCAAATTATTGTGTCCGCTGTAGAGAAGCCATGTATGTATTTCAAATGAATGATTCAGGTTCAGCAGTTAACCAGCGTAGAGGTTCTGGGTTCGACTCCAGTTAAATTACATGGTCATGGTCTCATAACACTGGCAATTCCTAATTTAATGCCAAGTATAACATTTTACGTAAATCTTAAACTACGCTTATATTTGGTTTCATTTTTAATAAAAAAATTTTCTAAAAGTGTTAAATTGGCAAGTATTAAGTAACGCTATGCCATTTAGTATTATTATACGAAAAAGTTTAGGTTAAATTAATATTAATAATATTAATTTAGTAAAAGACATAATTTTAATGAAAATAAGTCTGGAAAGAAATATAAGAACCACTCGTAAAATAATTGTAGTCTCTAGATATGACTCACAAAAAATTACTAAGTTACGCATGTACTAGATATTAGAGACATTTTACCGTTTCAATATTTTTTTTCGAAGACAGATCGTTACCGTGGGCATTTCCCGTGAACATTTCGACGTGTATTGTTAAAAAGTAAGGAATACCCTATTATACCTTGCACGCTATAGGAAACCTTGTTACGTTTGTTCGTAAATGCATTTTCAAATGAAAAAGTAAAGCGGCGTGTAGAAACAGTCTATTTACAACGAATGATTGTTCCGATTTGCTTAAATCGCCTGTGATTTTTGCTTTTTATTTATCTTTAATAACATCATTATTATACTTATTTTTATTATACTTTATTTAGGTGACGTACTTAGTGTTGGACTAGTAAATATTATTATTACCTACTCTATGTTTTTACTAGCATAATAAGAATTAATTTCATTATTATATTTATAACTCAATCACAAATATTGTAAAAAGAACAACTCCGCGAGGGTCAGTGTGGCGAGTTCAAATGAAACACTAAACATTTATTATACTCAAC